CGCGCCAACCCGCGGCGCCCGGCCCAGGCTTCCGCGGCTGCGTGCTGGCGGCTGCCCGCGACTGCCCCCGGCAGAAGAGCTGCCGCCCTCTGCCGAGCCTCCTCCTGTCCCGCCCCTGCCGCTGCCTCGTGCAGCTTCGCCGCTTCAGGCCAGGCCCCCCCTACTGTACACTCCGCGCCTCCTTGTCCTTTTTCCCTCCTCATCCTCCTCTACTCCTCCTCACGACGAAACGACTTTTCTCTCAATCCGCCCTTCCTCTCCCTCTCCTCTACTCGCTCTCCGCTCGCCTCCTCTCCTCATCCTCCTCCCCCCCCCCGGGCCCCCCCTGCTGCGTTTCCCCTTCCGTGCGTCCTCGGGAGCGCGCGCTAGCGCCTGTCCCCGCTCTCGTGCTGCTGCTGCTGCTGCTGCTGCTGCTGCTGCTGCTGCTGCTGCTGCTGCTGCTCTCGCCCTCCCATGTGTGTAGCCGTTCTGGCTCGTGCTGTTTTTCGTGCATGGTGGCAGGGGCGTCTTCGCACCAATGGCCGCCCGCGAGGGGTTCTGCCAGCTTGTGCTGGACGGACAGGTGCCTTTCGCTTCGCGGGGTGCACGTCTGGAGCGATTGACTGTCGCGGCGTGGCAATTTTGCTGTGCGGCCGCTCGACAGCCTCGGGGGCGCGTCGCTCTACAGGGTCCGCCGTGCTGGTCTGCGGTGCAGGTCTGCCGGAGACCTTTTTTTCGGAATCCCCTTGGGGTCCTCCTGGGGCCCCCTCTGGGGCGTCTCGGGGGCCTCATTTTCGCTGTCCTGAAGCCATCTTGGGCTGACCTGGGCCCTTGGACGTCTTGCCGGTTTTTGGGCACCCTCTCACGGCCCTCGTGGGTCACCCTCTTGGGCCGTCTTGGGGACTTGGGACCCTCTTGGAGTCCTGCTGGGGCCCTCTTGGGCCGTCTTGGGCTGGTCTGGGGGGCCTCTTGAACCGTTTCGGGCTGTCGAGAGGCCGAAACGGCAATACCCTGACGGGCGCTCTTGGGTGCCTTTGGAGCTGTCTTGGAGCCCTTCTGAGCTCCTCTTGGGACTCTCTTGGGTGATCTTGGATCCATCATAAGGCCTCAGAAGCTCAACGGGAGCGAACATGCAAGAGAGCGCACATCAATGATCAAGCACATGTTTTTGATGTTACGGATCTTGTTTCTTTGGGGTATCGCTGGTTGGTCCGTACCTGTTCGGAGCGATCTTGTGGCCGCCTCGGATCATCTTGGAGGCACTTTGGAAGCCATCTTGAACCACCCTGAGCTAGCTCGTGCCATCTTGGGGGCCATGTTGGGCTAACAGAGGCCATCGTAGAGCCATCTTGGGCCATCTTGGGCCCGCTACCCCCTCGCGAAGCCCTGGTCCCGAACCCATGTAAGGGATAGGGGGAGTGGGAACCGCACCCGAGACGGGGAGAAGTTGGTCGGAGTAATGGTACCACCTGAGCCAAGAGCTCCGTATGGATTTGGCGTCGTGGACGCATCCCACTGCTCCCTTCCTCCAGGTCAACGGGTCGTGGTCGGTACGGGGGGTAGGTGGGAGGGGTCCAACAGCTCACACGCTGCTGACAATCAGGGGCCGCCGGGTTTTGCGCCTGCCTTGGAGTATGCTGGAGGAGCACCCTGGTGGCTTCGACGTCATCATGGGCTTGCGTGGGAGAGACGCCACCCAGGAGTTCGAGGACGCGGGTCACAGCGAGAGCGCGCGGCAGTGGGCACTGGAGTACACGTCGGGGGAGGTCCTCCCGGAGAGCTGCACTGGCCGGCGGCCGGCCCAGGAAGCCTCTGGGGTTGGGGCTTTCGGCGCGCAGGCGGGCAGCTTGGAGCGGGAAGCGTGGCTGCCGTTGCTATTGGGACTGGCGTCGCTGGTTAGCGCAGTGGTTGCGCTGCGGCTGCGCGATTCGGTTCACACTGCTGCCAGGTGAAGTGGCGCTCGGTCGCGGATGCCCATGAGCAGGACAGGGCGGGGGGTGCGGAGCTGCAGATCTTTCATTTTTTGCTTTTGGCCAGAACACTACAGCCGTTCTGTGTAGCTTGCTTTGGGCAGGCTCTGAAGCACAGCCGCCGGACAGCGTCGGTTGGTTGGTGCCCTGTTTGAACACATTTAAGTTTGTTGCTCACTTGAACTCCGAATTACTGCCGCGGCACTGGAAGGCACGAGCAGCACTTGAGAGCGAAATCGACAGCACCGCGTGTAAGGTTTTGTCATTCGGAAACGGTGCCCGTGATAATGTCATGTTTGGGGTCCGCGCTCGTGTTCCGAGCAGGTCGGGTTCGGTTTCGGCAGATCAACAGGCAGCAGCAACCTCGGCCTCTTCCCCACGACCGAGCAGCAGCGCCGATCTTTGGGGTTTCTGTGAGCAGAGCCAAAGGAAACGACATATGCTGGACAGTGAGCATTGTGAAGCACGAGCGCAAAATACACCTCCAACGTTAAACGTCTTGAAACTCAAAATCAGCTGTCCCCAAAAGTTGCGAGATCCGCTTCTTGTCAGTGCCTGGCCAGTAGTTCGATTCCTCTGCTCTGCATGAGGCTGCGTACTACGTGGTGAAGTGCGCCTTCGGGCTGCGCCCGGGGTTTCGATCTGATATTTCTGGCGGGCTAAGTGGCCACTCCGCTCGGAGTGCAGGTCCAAGCTAGAGCGTTAAGTCAGCAGCCGTCGCCACGATGGACAGGGGGTCCTGGAGAGAATGGGCATTCGGTGTTTTCCACCATGCGTTCGAGCTCCCCGGGCCCTCCTCGAGCCCGGGGACAACAATCGCCTCGGGGAAGGCACCAGGGCCCAGGGCCCGTTTCCACCCGGCCCCCCCCTCTCCTCCGTGCGAGCGCAGCAATGGCGCCTGGAGAGATACAGACTGCTCGCCGCGAGGCGCTGCGCGGGCGGCCCCGCTCGGGCGCCTCGCTCGCCTCCCCTCTCCTCCCGCTGCGCTCCTGCTCGGAGGGGGGCCCCGTGGAGACAGCGGCGGCTCTCCCGACGGTCCCCGACCCAGACAGCCGGCGGCTCCGATTTTTTCTTGGTGCGTCAGCCCAGGAGGTCCGGACCACTGCCCGGGACCGGTTCCTCGTCCTGGGTCGTTTGGTGGTCTCCAAACCAGGTGGTGAGACACCTGGTGGTGACCCCGATTCCCCCAAAAAATAATTCTGGGTCACCACCGGGTTTGGGGCCACGCGGTCGCCATGAGGTTTTGCGTTTTCTGGGCCAGCCAGCGCTCGAAAACCATTACCCAAATCGCCCAAAACTCACCACCGGGTGTTCTCACCACCACGGGGACCACCAAGTCGTTCTTTGACGCTCCCGAGGCCCGGCGAGGGCCCCCGGCGGCCGAAGGCGGCCCCAAACCGCCCGCTCCAATGTTTTTGTTGGAGCGTCGGATCGGAGGGTCGCCCGCCCGTCCCCAATCCGCTCAACGTCGGCCTCCAGGCGCCTCGAAAGGGGGCCCGTCCCGGCTCCGCGCTCCTCGGGGCCGGTGCGGCCGCCGCGGCGAGAGGCCTCAAGGGAAGGGCAGAGGCGGGCGCCGGGAAGGGCCGGCGCCGTCTCGACCCGGGCACTCCTCCGACTGTCGCCGCTGCTTCTGCTCTTAGCCGTGCTCTTAGCCGCCCCGATACGCAACACGCAACACGTAGCGTCAGAGCCCCGAATCATCAGGGGTAACTCGGGTCAGGGTTAGTTCGGGTTCCTTTTTCGGGAATCCGAACCCGAGTGACCCCGGACCCGAGTTACCCTGGATAATTCGGGCGTCCAGAGCCCCACATCATAAGGGGTAACTCGGGTCATTGCTAAGTCGGGTTCCCTTTTCGGGAATCCGAACCCGAGTTACCCCGGACCCGAGTTACCCCGGATAATTCGGGCGCCCAGTAGCGTCGTGATACGGAGCTCAGCACGCAGACTGAGCACGTACGTTCTGAACACGGACGTTCTGAGCACGGCACGTGTTGCGTTCTGAAGCGTGCGTATGAGAGCAGCTACGCTTCTGATTTGTTTCAGGGGGGAAAAACACACTGACACAATTAATCCTCGATTCCCCAGAAAATTATCCCAGTGCGACCCTACCTAGGAGTTGGAACCCCTAGGAAAGCAGCATTAGTAGTAACAGTAACGCTAAGCTAAAGCTAAGCTAAAGCTAAGCTAAACTAAGCTAAGCCACAAAGCTAAGCTAAAGCTAAGCTAAAGCTAAGCTAAAGCTAAGCTAAAGCTAAGCTAAAGCTAAGCTAAAGCTAAGCTAAAGCTAAGCTAAAGCTGAGCAACAGCTAAGGTAAAGCTAAGCTACAGCTAAGCTAAAGCTAAGCTAACGCTAAGCTAAAGCTAAGCTAAAGCTAAGCTAAAACTAAGCTAAAGCTAAGCTAAAGCTAAGCTACATCTAAGCTAAAGCTAAGCTAAAACTAAGCTACAGCTAAGCTCAAGCTAAGCTAAAGCTAAGCTAAAGCTAAGCTAGAGCTAAGCTAAAGCTAAGCTAAACGCTAAGCGAAAAGCTAAGCGAAACGCTAAGCTACAGCTAAGCTAAAGCTAAGCTACAGCTAAGCTAAAGCTAAGCTACAGCTAAGCTAAAGCTAAAGCTAAAGTTTAAGCTCCCAGGGGACTTGGGGGAACCGCTCCCAGGGGACTGGGGGAACCGCCCGGGGCGTGTTGCACTGCCCGGCCCCTTTAAGCTAAGAGAGTAAGAACCCTTCTAGGCAGAGCCTAGGTAGGGAATATGGGAAAATATGGGAAGTGAGGGGGAAGACAGAAACCCCGGAAATATGGGACCCCCCCCCCTCCCCCTCAGAAGCCGTGGGGGGTAGGGGTAGGGTTCGCATGCTGCCCCCTAGATGAGGACTTGGAGGAGGAGGAGGATGCTGCTGCTGCTTCTGACGATGATCAAGATGATGCTGCTGCTGATGCTGACGATGCTGATGCTGATTCTGATTACGATGCTGATTATGATACTGATGCTGATGATGCGATGGTGCTGATGCTGCTGCTGATAACGATGATACTGATGCTCATGATGATTATGATGATGCTGATGCTGCTGATGATGATGACGATGATGGTGATGCTGATGATGTTGATGATGATAACGATGATGATGGTGGTGATTATGATGCTGCTGCTGCTGCTGATGATGATGATGATGAGGAGGAGGAGGAGGAGGAGGAGGAGAAGGAGAAACATGAGATGAGGATGATGCTGATGGTGACGATGAGTAGGAGGAGGAAGAAGAGGAGAAGGAAGGGCAGGAGGAGGAGGAGGTGTCAGTGCCAGGGGCGGGGGGGGGCATTCTTCACCAGCGGGTGGTTCGCCACCTCCTCCTGAAGCTCGAGGATCGAGGAGGGGGAGCGGATCGAGGATACCCCGGACGTCTTGGGGCGTCTTTGAGAGTCCAGGGGGGAGGATCGAGGAGGGGAGAGGATCGAGGCTGCTCTGGACGTCTTGGGGCACATCTGTGAGTCCAGGGGGGGAGGAGGATCGAGGGAGGGCAGAGGATCCAGGATTCTCTGGACCTCTCGGGACGCCTCTGTGAGGCCAGGGTTTTTTTTTCCTTTGTGTGTGTGTGTGTGTGTGTGTGTGTGTGTGTGTGTGGAGGGGGTCCAAGGTGAGGGGTCTGTTTCCTCGAGTGGGTGACGACCTCCCCTTCGTGGTGAGCCCCTACCCCTCGGCATCGACTGGGAGAGGCACGAGGAGTGTGGTGAACATGCGGGGGAGGAGGGGGAGGAGGAGCATGCAGAGGAGCATCGCAGAGTTAGGAAGATGGAGGAGGGAGGCTACATCCAGAGGATCTTGCAGTCACCATGAACCAGGAACATGGATAGAGGAGGACGGTGGAGGATGGAAGAGCGAAGATGAGAGGGAGAAGAAGGGAGGGTGTGAGGAAAGGATGGATGGGGTGAGGAGGAGTGGGTGGAAGAGGACGAGGAGGATGAGGAACATGCGTCGAAGTATCGAAAAGCGACGAGGAGAATAATGATGGAGGAGGACGGATGAGGATGGAAGTCACCACCAACCACACCACCCCAACCCAACCCGACGGCCCCAATTTGCTCTACATTCCCAGTGTGTGTGTGTGTGTGTATGTGTGTGGGCTCGGGGAACATGGACAAACACAAACACATATGTGGAACCCGTACCCCCCAACCCGAAAGTTGGATCTTCGGGTTAGGTTGGGGTGGTCTGGTAGGTAGACAGGAAGAAGAGTGGGGAGGGACGTTGAATTCTGAAGGCCCGCTTGGGCCGTCTTGTCGCTGCCTCGAGGCTCTTCGGGGGCCCTCCGCCCCCTTCGGGGCCTCCCGAGGCTCGCTTGGGCTGGTTGTGGGCCCTCTCTGGGCTGTTGTGAGGGGCCCCTGGGGCCGTCTCGGGCCTCTCGAGGCCGTCCTGGGGGGGTGGTGTCCCGAGGCCAGTTTGAAAAAAAACACCCTTCCGCCATCCGTGCAACGGGCCAGCGCGGTGCGCGGCGCCAGGAGGAGGAGGAGGAGGAGGAGGAGGAGGAGGAGGAGGAGGAGGAGGAGGAGGAGGAGGAGGAGGAGGAGGAGGAGGACACGCGAGGGGTGTGCGCGGGCCAGGGCGAGAGCCCCCTCTTGAGAAGCCACCCGCCCTCCGTCCGCGGAAGCGCTGGACATCTCGGGCATCAGGACTGTACACCCCAGGCGATGCTTAAGAAAACCCAAGTTTTCGGCCAGAGTCTCGATTATTCTTAATGTTTCAATGTAGATCCCAAGATTTGAATAGACATTCTGGGTTTTATTCAATTTCTGAGACTAGGAATTTCTTAACCCATGATTTCTTGAGCATCTCGCAGGGTGTACGCGTGGGGGAGTCTCCGGCGACGCGCCCGGCCCGCCCTGGCCGCACGTCTGGCAGGTGCGACGGGGAGAGCTTTGCGTATGGGGCAGAGGGATGGCAGGACTGGGACAAGGAGGGGGGGAGGGGAGCGGGATGAGGCGCGTAGAGGAGGGACAAGGGATCGAACCTCGAGAGGAGAATGGGGGAAAGCTGAAGATGAGGATGATGGGGAGGGGGATGAATGGGGAGCGGTGGATGAGGTGAGGGGGAGAGGCAGGCGGGGAATGGGGGAGAACCGGAGATCGTTTTGGAGAGCCAGGGGAATCAGAGAATCGTGAATTTGGGATATGACCCTGAGATTGATGTTCACGAAGTTGTTTTTTTGCTACGTCGGATCTCAGGGGAGTCGTGAAAGTGGAGGGACGGGAGTGGGAGGGAGGGAGGGCGCGAGGGATGGAACGAGGGAGAAAACGAGATTGGACTCGGATTCAGCGCTGGGTTCGGGACTATAATAAACTGGAGAGCGGTTAAAGCTCATCTATCCCCTAAGCGTCGCCTTTGGCGACTGTCGGGGTTCATTTACCTAAAGAAGCGAAGCACTTAAATTTGTACCGCTGAGGGTTCGAAGCCCGCCACACACGAGAACAGGCAGCTAAGAGAACAGGCTGGAGAGCGGCAACAGCTCGTCTAGCACCTTTGCGTCGCCTTTGGCGGGGTCTGGGTGCAGTCTCGTAAACATTTTCTTCCAATTGTTCCTGTTGTGGGAGCTCTTGTATTTACCATCACACTCTTCCAAGAGGCCTTTGGCACGCTGGCCCTGGAATATGCAACCACATGTGCTGTATCAAGCTGTCGGAGTCGTGGCATGCGATATAAATCCTATGCAAACGAGGGTTTGCGGCGATTGCACTGAAAACGGCATTATGGCCAGTGCAGACTTCCGATACGGAAGGCAACTCAGCGTAGCTTCGCTCGTAGCAGACTCTTACAACTCCAGGACTTTTGCTGTATCAACGTCCACTGGTGATGGGCTGGTCCCGAAGCCGCGTCCAAGGGAGGGGCTTGGGTGTCGGACGAGGCTGGCCTTGGGACGCTGACTGGACACTGGCCATACGGGCGCGGCGGCGGGGGCGGGGGGGGGGAGGGGGGGGGGGGGGGGGGCGGAAGAGGAAGAAGCACCCCCGCCTGCCGAACTGACCCCATTCCGTGGCGCCGTACTAGCCGTCGCTGGTCGACACTTGCCCCAACTCTCGTCGCGGTAGCTGTGCTCTTCCCTTCGAGGCCCCGCTCTCTTCAGTCTGGAGCGGCTCCCCTGCCGGCCACGGGGTTTGGGCAGAGTTGGGAAAACCTCTAGAGCTCTAGCGACGAATTAA